TTACGTAGGACACTTAAATATAATAATAATATTCATAAATTTCTGATCTAGCAACCGATTTGAATATAAGATTTTACAGATAATCATTTTAAAAATCCAATAAAATTATTTACATATCTGTCCAAATTGTTATATTTGTCAGCAAAAGCGTTCTTTTTCTTACCAGCAAGTTTATCTGCTCCCGCAGCTGTTGTAACTGCAGCTCATGCTGCTCTCTCAGTTGCTGCATTTGCAGCTCATTGTTGTTTTTGTTGCTGTTGCAACATGTCTGCAAATTTTTTCTTTTGCTCTGTAAAATACATAAACTATATATAGTAACATTATAATAGTATAATAGTAACATTATTATACTACTGATTATACTACTGATATCAGATAATGATAAAGTTTAATACACACGTACATGCGTACGCACACAGCACACGCACATGCAGGCACACGTACACACAGGCACACGTACACACAGGCACACGTACACACAGCGACACGCAGGCACACGTACACGCAGGCACACGCAGGTACACGTACACGCAAGCACACGTACACGCAAGCACACATACACACAGGCACACGCAGCACACGCTATGCAGGCACACGTACACACAGGCACACGTACACGCAGGCACATGCAGGCACATGCACATGCAGGCACACACATACGATAATGAAGCATATTAAATTACATTGAAAATGTGATTTATATTTCTGAAATAATAATAAATTGTAACTAACCTGCCATTTCGTCGTCAAATATGCTGCTCACTGTATGCTATATGCTGCTCGCCGAATGAAACAATGATCTCGATTTTCCATTGTTTATCTCACGATGCGCGACGATTTCATTTGTCTTTCGGTGACTTCGTGTACATCTTTCGATCACATCGTGTATCGTGTATCCCCATCTTAACTTTTTAATATTGAAGAATATATTCGAGATTAAAAGGTATAACTTTCCATATATACATTTATACACACACACACACACACACACACACACACACACACACACACACACACACACACACACACACACACACACACGTGTATATATATATATATATTTACTTGGAAATTGCAATATAAATAAATAATCTAAATATGAAAAAATATATTTATACATCTATTTGAATATATATTTAACAAATATATTAATATATTTATTTTAATATATATTTTGTATTGTGTTATTATATAATACAAAATATATATACTCAATTTAGTACACATCAGTCTAGAAATATAAATGTATATTGTATTTTAACCATTATTTTATATCCGCAATTTTGAAATAAAGGTTCAATTAAAAAATTGACTTCGACATCTTTATTCGAAATTCAATAAGCTTTGATTAAAAAAAAAAGATATTAAAAAGATATTAAAATTAAGATTTGAAGCCTGTAAACAATTATGAAACATGATTTCTCGTTTTCCACTGCGCGCTATATCAATGGATTTTTATGGATTTACCATCGGATTTACCATCATCTATATTAAAACGATAAATCATGATGCAAGTAATGCAAGTAACTTGAATATCTCTAAAAATATTATTGCGTAACGACTCGAGAGAGTGAATAATGACTCTTTCAAGTCTTTAAGTAATGTTGCGTCTTCTATACACATTATTTCTTACAGTATACGATGCAACGCTAGTAGAGATCTGTCACATCAATCTGTATCAAGTAAAGCTCTGAAATATGCGAAATTACGCTTCTTGCTTCCTTTTCTATCACGAATTCTAGACATTTTCAAACAATTCAATCATTTTAATTGCAATCTTAATATAATATTATTAAGATAATTTAAGCAACTGAAAATATTACAGCTTCGAATCAACGATAAGAAAATAATGTACATTACGTGCTATGATTTTCTAAAATCTTATCTCACCAACGTTATTTTTCTGTTGAATCAAGAGCGTCGCGTACGCGACTAGCGCTATCAAAAATAGTGCCATTTTCATCCGCGATGATGAACGCGGATTATCATTCATTCTACCTACAACCAATTACCTCACTTATTGTATTTGATAAAGAGCAGACGATTCTATAAGGCCAATTCTATCGCTTGCAATTTACTATTTCGACGCTGTCTTCGCAAGGCGTTTACCTAAGGCTTTTTCCAGATCGCCACGTCATCAGATCACCGTGTCCTGATAAGCGGGCGGTCCACTGAGAACAAATTGTCGCTGACTCTGCCTGACAACGTCGGTGCGATTGGGTACCTGTGGCGTCGCTCTAACGCCATGGTAATTGCTATAGCTGGACCTGGCGCTGGCCGGTCGATTGCTGTAGAGCTCCTCCATGTCCTCGCCGTTCAGGCTCTGCGTGCTGGTCTGCTGGAATGTGGGGTTGCTCTGACCCTGCCACTGCATCGGGTTCAGCTCGCCGGACGAAGCCTGCCAGTTGTCGGTGAGGTTGCGGGTGGAGCTGGTGGTCGGATGTTGATCCCAACATCCGACGGGCGGGCTCTGACCGGCCGGGAAACCGGACGACGCGTTCGAATAGTTATTCGAGGAGTCCTGGGTGACCGGGGGCTGCCAGAGGACTGGCGACGAGACCGCCATGTTGACCGCCTCCGGCTGCCAGTTTCGGTCGGCGTTTCGCTCGCGGTCCCAGTTGACCGCGATCCGATCGTAGTTGAGCGTACCCTGCGCCAACGAGCTGACGTTCTGATTCGTTAGGTTGCCGATGCAAGGTGCGACTGTGTTCGCGTACAGACTCTCCTGATGGTCCATGATGCGGTTCACCGGGTTCTTGCGGCGCGACTGTCGCACCGAGCTGCGTCGCGTGCTGGAACGCCGTGTGCCATCCCGCGAGATTACGGAACGTCGCTTCACACGACGCGGCGTCATCGGCTTCGGCGACACGCTGTCATCCTGCACCGGTGGCTCCGGCTGCGAATACTCGATGCTGTACAACGGCCGAGGCTGCTTCTTCTTTCGTTTAGTTCGTACTGTCGAGGAAACAAAGAGAGGCAATCAGATTCCGCGGTGCAATGATCAACCCGAATCAAAAGTGACCCACTTTTGCCTGTTTATTCGATCGAATGATTCGATCATCAAACAGAGTTCACTGACAGTTAAGTTAATATGAAAGTCAATTTCATCAAGATAATCTGCAATTTTGTTTATTCTATATAACTAAATCTTGTTATTTTAGCTTTTGTCTATTACTAAACTTGTCCATTGTATCTTGGAATATCTTCAATTAATTATTACTCAATACTATTTTTATAAATATATTTGCATTCTAAAACTGCAGTCCTCGTATTTTTTTAATAATTATATTAAATCCTCTGATCAAAATTTTTTTTCTATAAAACGTAACAATGTCTATTAAAGTATATAACCATTTCCAAAAAATGCGAAACACTTAAAGCAAAAATTTTGATGACAAGAAATATAGAAAAAATGAATAAAAAAGATTCCCCAAAAACCGTACAATAGGAAATTGTTAGAAAAGGAAAAGAAAAAAGAGTGAAGGGTTAATAAATAAAAAAGCAAGCAAATAGTAGCATTGCATATTTATTGTTCCCAATTAATTGCACCAAAATAAATAATGTGATACAGTGGTTAAATACAAAATTAATTATGGTGACCTTAAAAAAAATATAAATATTCTGTACAAACTTGAGAGATGCTCAATAGAGACTGTACTTGATTAGAAATATCAAATCTGAAGTGACAAAGAAACCATGCGTATTTGAGGTTTCTCCTTACTTCAACTTTTTTCAGAAAAATTTATTTGTTTAAAGTATCATTCATAGAAGAATAATAGTATTCCATATCTATTAAACACATTTCTTTCATTATTTAATTTCATATAAGTACTACAAAAAATAAATATAAATAATATTATACATTTAACATAAAGATTTACTATTATCATTATGTTCTACAAATATTATATCATATGCTTGAAATTAATTCATATATAATTATTTAAAAAAAAACGCTTTTGTAGCACATAAAATTATTTTGAAAAATTCAAAAGAAATTTTGAAAAACATATAATTTATGTATATATAAACATGTATATATGACATGTATGTATAATAATCTTGATCTCATGATCTTTCTCTCGTATTTAAAATTTAAAGTTGTTTTAAAATAGATTATATATTATATTGCTATCCTCTATTTGTCTGTTAGCAGTCTTTTTTATGATATCATATTTACCTATATACTACTTTTTACATACGAAAGATTAATATATAACATGTTAAATATATATCTATAATATATATTTATTTGAATATATGTATTTATATAAACATATATTTTGTTTGATGTCACTTCAGATATTAAATTATAATATAACGCAAAATATCAGTCATTCATATACGAAACGTCATAAAACGAATAAGATTTTATATAATCGTGTTTATCAAAAAGAATATCTGAAATTATACATAAAAAGAAATTTCAGATTAAGTGTGTGCGTACCCATACATAACAATGAAATTTAATCTACACATTTAGATACATTTATATATCAATTTATTCTATGAAAACGAGCACGGGGATTTTAGGAGTCAAAAACGTTTGGCTCTACTGAGTTGAAAATACAAAAAGAAGAAAATCACTACCATGCACTATTAAACAAAGGGAAATCGTGACATGCGTACTGTTCTTTTAAATCCTTCTATGATAAAAAAAACTCTTCGTAGCACCGGGTCAAATTCATAATTGAGCTATAAAATAAACTAATTAAATGCAGTCTAATTACTTAGGAGTACTAACTTAAAGCCCCTATTCATCCATATGCACATATGTATATATGTGCATAGAATTCTATAGAAATGAATATTATATAGTCCTTTCACTTTCCATATAGAATCTAATAGAGAAATAATTCTACTACAACACGCAATATGATTTTCACCAAGATTTCTCGTAACTCTTAAAAAACTGATATTAGACAAAGCTATAAGTAAAATTTTACACCTAAGTAATATGTTCCGATCATGCTGCGTTTAATTTGCCACCAACACTTTCCTCTATTTAGCGTGCATTAAAATCTCCCGACGTAAACAATTTTCAAAATGCCGCTAATCAAATTTCATACATTAAATAATAAATATTCCGCGGAATCTTAAATACAGTTTCTATACATATCACAGTAAATATACTAAGATGTACTTCGTTAATTTATGTGTAGAGAATGAACGATACGTGTAAGTGAAATTCCTCACCGTGTGTAAGATGATTCACAGCTATCATTTACTTCTCTCAACTTCTTTTTTTGTACAAATAAATGCGTGCAAATTAGTAATTCCTTTTCTGACTTCTCACATTCCATTAATCTTATTAGCATTAAAATGTATTAAGTAACGGCCACAATAGTATTAATTATCCACAATTAATGCGTTCTCTTGCGCCGCTACTGCATGTTGATAATCATCTTAATCATTTATTTGTACAAGTTAAACAGTAAAGAGAGTGGAAAATAATTCTGAATCATCCCATATATATAAATATGCAACATTTATGATTAGTAGATAAGTCACACTGCACCGATTGCTCGTACGGACGTACAAACAAAGTTATTGAACACACATACCTCGACATCAGTCGATCGTTTCGATGCAAAAACACGAAGAACACCATCAATAAATATTATGTGGTGGTATTATATAAAAATAACTCACAATTTAGATTAATGAAAATAGTTAAGGAAAGAGGCATCTCAAGGCTAGTTACACTTAATTGTTCTATCTATTTGGCAAGTCTAGGAATTAAATAATATATACCGCACAAGTGAACGCCGTATATGCGATAGTATAGAAGTAAGCTAACTCTACTTATTCTTCTCGCTATATAAGAGAGCAGAAGACAAGGACTTTCGCGGGGGTATTTTTTTTTTTTTTAATCTGCCGATCGTGCTCGTAGAAAGTGTCGTCAATTTTAACACGAGTAGTCTGGGCAGTCGCGCGAATAGTCAAATGGAGCGTCCGGTGGTCAAAAGTTACTTGCGTGCAGGGACAATGGTCGGCTGTCTCGTTTCGACTGGGACGACGACATGTCGTGCTCGTTCGGCGTTTGATCAATAGCCAATCTCGGATCGGAGTGGAACGATCTCAGCGGCTGGTCGCGCACGTGATCGATGAAGACGCGGGATTTGACTGGATTCCTGGCTTGTTGTTGCCTGCTCGCCGCGACCTGACGGCACTTGATACGCGCGACCGGGCTGTACTTCGCCGAGTGCGGATAGTACAGTCTGTTTTTCTGATATCTCAACTTAGCGGCGCTGTCCAGCGAGTCGTACTCGTCGTCGTACACGGGCGACACGGGTCGCTGCAAGTGGTCCACCGGATTCAAGTAGTCGATCGTGTAGTCTACGCTCTGAAAATCGCGGCTGGACGAGCGACTGGCGTTACTACGGACGGTATCGCCCCTGAGACCGATGGCATTGTTCTTGCCGCGCGCGCCGCTGCCGCCCAGCAGCTTCTCGCCGCTGCGTTTCGGAAAGCTCGACTCGCGATAGGCGGATTGATGAGAGCTACCTGTGCCGGCCGGGCAATTATTTTGAGCGGAATTTTTGAGGGAGTAGGCGGGTGGTGGAAGAGCCGAGTAGCTAACGTACATAGGATGCAACGGCGTGTGGCTTGCCAACCCGAAGTCATCACCTCCGACAAAGTCAACTGAAATATCATTCAAGAATCCATCGCATTAGATGAGACGTTCGCCGACGACAAGCAGTCGGAAATAAGCAGTGCGAATAATGAATCGATCGAAGAAGTGAGTACACGACTAATAACGCCGGAGATATTACTATATTTACTATCAATGTCTTTCCTCATTAACTTCTTTTTGAAGAAGAAATGTCCTATCCCGAAATCTTTGATTTCGGATTTAACATTTGGTCCTGTTATATGGCATAGTCTGCTTAATATTTTGCTGTGCCTTCGCAAATTATAACATTCTTGGCTAAAGAAAGTGAAAATCATACTATAATAAGACACAACACCATTCCGTTCATGCGAAGAAACGCTATTTTAGCAAATTCTTATAGTAATAACAATAATAATAATAGATACGAATTACAAATTTCAAGATGCAATAAATTTAACATCGCTACATATTCAGACTTAATTTACATTCTGTAGCTTTATGATTATACTAATTAAAAAATTATTTACTCGTGCTAAAAGATAGACAAATATGTATGGCGTGCAATTGATGAACATGATTAAGCGGACTTACCAAAATGGAGGATCAAATCCACCAATGAAATCAACTGTAACCGATAACCCTCTTTTCAAGCAATAATAAATAATCGCGCGTACTTATATATAATTAGTGAATTACCAAGGATAATTCATATAATTTCTTATTACTAATTGAAATTAACATAATGTGCTGTCACACTAGCAGTAAATTCTTGAACAATTTTGTGCAAATGTAAAATATACTGTGCGAAGAGATATATATTCAAAATATAATATGATGAAAGCACATCTAATTAATTTAATAAAAAGAAGAAATCTAGCACTCATATAAAATTAATATAATTTATACGGATTTTAAAATTAATTTACATAGAAAACGAAATAGATAATTAATCAATCAAGCGTATTTATATTTTTTGTAATCTAACTTGGAATAATTGATTTAATTTTACAAGTTATAAAAAATAGAAATATCACGATTTTTAATTTTCCTGAGCGCATATAAATTTATATTCATAAGATGATATTCTGTCTTTCTATTTTTCCTTCTTACCAAATATAATAATAACCACAACTTCGCCCCATTTATCATAAACCACAAACCAGTAAAGTATGAATGATCATCAAATCTTAATTCAAGCATGCTATCATATATATCATTATATCATTATATTATTAAAATATTAAAACTATAAAAAATATATTTTATTATTACTAAAATCTCTTAAACATAAAACTTATAGATATGTTTGACCATATTCCGACACGGGAAAGTTTCAAAAGTAAAATTTCAAAATACTTTTGTGCAAATTAAATCGCAATCACAATTTAATTTAACTATATTAAAATTTAATTATATTAATTATATTATATTAAATAAATTTTAAACTCTTTTTATAAAAAGTACTAGTGCGATTAAAAAACTCAAAATAAAAATTAATAGAAATTAATAAAAATTTTAATTTTTCTTTTGGATATACTTTCCATTTGAAACTTTCCACGTAATTCAGAAATTAATTTAATTTAAACTTATATAATTGCGCTAAATATACTCACAGCTATCATCTTCCTCAAGGAACACTTTACTGAGACAAATTCCACCGACAATTGCCATAAACTGAAACATGTGAAATAACTTAACTTTGGAACTAATAAATATAATAAGACAGTAATAATAAAATCTGTGTAATTATTATATTAAAGTAATGTATTCTATGATAATTCTTAAATAAAATAATAAAATCTAAACATAATAAAATCTTTGTTAATTATTATACTAATGTGTTGTAATGATAATTCTTAATTCTTAATTTTTTACTTACCCCTAGAACACATTGTGTTGCAGCATGTAAAATTTCTATCACTTCGTAACTTAATACGCAGTCTGTCACATTAGTAGGTCGGGCAGGTCGAAAAAGCTCTGGTTCTGTCACGTCATAAACGGCTTTACAACCTGGTCCATTCACATACCACCATGAAAAACTACCAGTACCGAGGTTAAGGATATCGCTATTCTAAAAAATAATTATAATATTATATAAACTCTTTTTATATAAACACATACAATAATTTATATCGTGTTGGATAAGTATCTTCTCTTACTTTGTTCAATATCCCTACATTGAGGTAAAAGCATATTATAAATATGTTCCACCCTAGCCATAATGTGTTCCATATACAATACTAAAACAAAAATTTTAATTATTTAAAGGAAATAATTAATTCAACAATTAATAAAAAGATATAGAAAAAAAATAGGTTTTACGTGACAAAACATAAATTATTTTCACACAAAATATATTCATCTAAATTACTTATGGATATATAATGTAATTACCTACCGATATGATATATTTAGGTCTATATTGAAAGGCCCCAAAGAATCCTAGTATTACAAAGATAATGTTGAAAAAATTGACCAGTATCGGGGCCCACATAAACCCCAAAAAATCGAATACTTGGCGTTCTATAGTTGTAATCTAAAAACAGAAATAAAATAGATTAATCGCACAATACACAAACATCCAACGTAATATAAAGTAATAAGTGACAAGCATCTCAATTTCTGTTGATTCCTTTTAGTGAGCGTTCTTAATCTATGGCAATTGCCCTATGTTCTAAATACTCAGTTAATTAGTCATTCTGAGTCATAATGTTTGAGGGCGTTACATACATGTATTGTTCAAAACCATTAACCTTTTTAAATTTCCTTGTAAAAAGATCTTGGAATATTATTGTAATTGATAAAATTTGATAACAATCAATATATAGTCAATATTTTACAAGACACAATTTAAATTCTACAAATTAAGAGAAAATATATCAAAAAAATACAAATATATAATATTTATATATTTAAAAAAATTTATTTATTAAACATTTATATAAAAATTTTCTATATATTTTAAATTTATCAATTTATACTGTATGTATACAGAATTTTTGTACATTAGTCATTAATATTATAGACATATACTGTGCATTATTTAGATAATGTACTGTGCAATATTTAGAAATTAAAATTTGACGTTGTAACAAAGAAGAAATTTTCCTAACATTTCACCGAAGAAATCTGAAGATTTATCATTCTTATACTGCAATTACTTTCTTATACTTCTGACATAAAAAGCAAGTCATTCGTAGCGTGCTGGGATAAGGAAACAAAAAATGCCTATAAGTGTTATTTCTTCGTTATTATTGGAGAAACGTTTATCAAATGATATAATCGTAAATGTAATCGTGAACGGTTCCTTTTCGAGGGAAATTCCTCGAGATAAAATATGCTACTCGGATCGATATGATAAAACGATATGATAATTCGTAAATTTGAAGTGACGATAAGAAAAACGTGGTAACGGCTCTTCGTCGATTCTCTCAATGGACGCTGCGCAAGTACGCGTTTGCTTGCAGGGCAGCGTGACTAACGATCGTATCATATCTCAATCGCGGAATCCGTAAGAAGAAAAAAAAATAAGTGACTCAATCTGTAGAGATAAAGGCCGCGCGCATATGCATATATATGTATATACATATACATAGGTAATTCGTAACCAGACGTTGCGGTCAAACGAGAAGGTGGGCATACGCATATCCGAATGAACGTTGCACTCACTAGTTGCAGACTGCATATTGTCAGTAGAAAATGCCTTCTGCTGCAAATTCCCATGTCATTTGGCCGCGCTCCGCTCAGCGAGCGATCTCACGCGGTACGATCGGAGCAAACAACGACGACACTCGCTCGCACTGCATCACTACTGCGGCACGTTCCGATGCGCCGTCGCCATCTTTCGCTTTTCCCGTATTTGTTGCTCGGAACACTTGTTCCACCCTCCCTACCCTACGTGGAATTTACTGTATACACAAGCTGCAGCAGCGGCTGCAAGTGCGGCATGCACCGTGCGATCGTAGCCAGGCAACCGGAGCACGCTCGTTTTGTCACGGTTGGCGAACGACTGCCACCACCGTGGCACGTGTAACAAATTCACCTCCCCTCCCTCAACACTGTGGTATCCGTGTGAAATCACGATGCTTTGTGGGGCCGAACTGGAGTGGAATTTGTGATTCTTCTGATTCATCCTGATCGAGAGTAACGATCGTAGATATGCAAGCTTGATCTGGGGAAGAAAGGAAGATGTAGATTTTGGTGCAGAAGATTGTAATTCTAGAGCAACAATGTGATTATATTCGTAAAAAAAAGAAATAAATAAAAATTGTAAATTTTTAAGTGCAGGGAACTAAAACGTATGTATACAACACTGCAACAGGTCTGCCAAGTGAGTAAGTACAAATTTTCCCGCCATCGAGAAAGAAATATGTCTTTAAAGTAGAATTAAATATTTGGACCGATTAATTGACCTGCATACCTGAATGTCCATTCACCGAAATGCTCTTGCGTTTATTACAAATTATATCCGAGTGCTTAGATTGAACAAATTTAACGAACTAACGTATTCGATAATCGATAATCGATAAACTGTTATGTTCAAGCTACGAAATGTCCAAATATCAAAACATATGTGCGCGTCATAATTTATAATTTACTCCCAAAGTATTTGCATAATTATTAATTATTATGACAATGTAGAAATTGTTATAAACAACGCAAGAATAATTAATAATTGTTATTTACGAGTCTTCTTGACTTTTAATATCAAGTTAAGCATCAGACGTCGAGACTGTCGAAGCTATTAAAAACCCTCTGTCTTCCATGCTTATGGTGTTTTTACTTCTGCACACATATCTTCAAAGACGGTGAAACTTGTTTAACAAAAGATTATTATTGTTTATATTAAATATTAACCAAACTGTTATAAAAAAATAATAAAATTTACAGATATGTTTGTAATTGATTTTTCTTATCTTATCTAAAAAAGATAAGATTTTTATTGTGACTTTATGCTTCGGCAATAGATTTAATTGAAAACATCTTAAAGCTTAATTTCTTGAAAAAAACATTTATGTAGGATATAAAATTTTCAGAAAATTGCGATCACCGCCGCACATTACTCAAGAATGAGAAAGGACACAATCAAGAAGAAACAGGATACTTTTTTGATCGAGGAGATTCCAAAATCGCCAGCAATTTTTCGAAAATTCGAACAAGCAAAAGTGATTCTGCATGGCAAATCTGCTGGATTTCCAGTACACAAATTTCAAAGCGGACCAATCGAACGAGGCGTACTTGTAGAAAGCGTAAAAGCAAACGTTTTCAAACATTTAAAAGAGGTAGTTTGTCGAATGTCAGAAAAAATTCGATTATCATACAGGTGCAATTAATATTAAATATGTGGATAATAATACGAATGCTTTGAATTCTTCGTAGGTACGGCTCTATTAAGGTGTAACGAGGGCACGTTTCGCGTGCGCAAAATATATGGAGATGGCAATTGCATGTTTAGAGCGATCAGCTACATTTTATGGCGAAACGAGGAAGAGCACCAATCGCTCCGAGCAACGGTCTGTGTGAACATTGCAATAATATAAAAAAAAAAAAATTAGATTTGCTATTTTAATATCAAAGATTTGTGCAAGCTTAAAAATAAAACCACTTTGCGATGGGGAACACGAGGCTTAATCAGTTAAATCAAATATACGCCATATATTGCCAACATAAATATTAGTTAAATATTACTTTTATGATGTTGACTTGACAGAAATTCAAGCGGTAATTGATATATGACGGCATGCATAATATGAATCATTTGGCAGGTTGTGCAGCATATTAAAGACAATTGGCGCGAGTATGGCTCGTTCGTGATGGCTGAGTGGAACATTTCGGATTCTCAAGAGTACTACGATTACATGAGCCCAGTGGGCACATTCGCCAGCGAGCTGGAATGTACAGTGGCAACGAAGCTCCATCGTATGAATCTTTCGATCTATCGCGAACTCCATGGCAGATACGAGCTCAAGCTGGTCTTCCACAACCGCGTAAGCATCAACTACGAAACTGCAAGACTCCTATTTACCGGATGCTCCGAAAATGGTCATTACGACGTTCTGTTACCCGATTCAATGTCAAATCTTTATACAAGCGACCAAATACATGAGTAAAAATATAAAATATAAAATAATTTTCACAATTACAAAAAATTATAATGTCTGGATAAAATCTTAATTATCAGTTGATTTTCTTTAATAAATTTTACGTTTTGTAAAAGATATTGTATAATTTATAAAAAGATTATATAAGATTATATAAAAGATATACAGGAAAATATGTATATTAAATTTATTAACATTATTACAACTTAATTATTTCTAAATTTGCGGACATAAAATTATTTAAATTGACACTCGAAGTATTAGGAGGTTATTAAATCATGTAATCATCAATCAAGAAGATATAAAAGGATAAGACTTATTATAAAGACATAATGTTATCTCAAATATTATTAAAAACTTCAAAATTATTTTTAAATATCTCTACATAAAAAATAAATTTGAACAAATATAGTATTTTATGTAATTAAATTATATCTTATTTGATGAAAAAAACAAAACATATTTTTTATTTTTATTAACAGAAATATTATTTTCTTAAAAACTACAAGGATATTTTCTCGCAGTATAATAATGTAGTATAATTTATAATTTTAATATTTGACTTTGTATAATTAATTGAAATATCAGAATAATTTTTCTTCGTACAATTCGTAGGAAGGTACTATTTGGTGTATAAATTTCAAGAATTTTCAAAAGTTTTTGCTATTCATCTCGAGTGAATTTGCTAATAGAAAACGCGAATTCCCACACTCGTGTTGATGGCCGACTGGAATACTTCACGCTTCATGAGCAAGAACAGGATTTAAAAAGAATAATCACATCCCTGCGTGTGAAGCCATTGTGAGACCGTCGTTATTGCGCTATATATCGCACAACTACAATGTAAGATCACATAGAATCCATTAAAAATCATATACACCATCAAGAATTACATTTAATCGTTATATAATTATACTTTAAAACATGATTTAAAATGCAAAAGTATCGACATGCTAACAAAGAAAAACATACATATATGCAAATAAAAAAATTATATAAATAAAATATACAATGGTTATGACATAATTAAATATAAAATAAAATGCTACTACTTTTTTTATTACAATATGTTTTTAATGTATAAATATTTCTAAAACTTATTGTTACTTTTTATCTAAACTGTTTATTATAATATCTTGTAAATAAATCTAACAATATCAATTAATTCTCAAGAGAAATTCCTTTACCTTATTTGATATAACATTTTTGAGCACCAACTAATGCTAATAGTGCATTGACCTCTTCTAATCGCCTGTACAACCTCCTTGGCAATTTGTTGTTCTTGTTGTCTTGTCGAGCTGCAAAAGAGATTTACATTATAATATAAATAGTTAATATAAATAGTTAATATTAAGAAACAGCGGAAAAATTTTCTTTTTTTCTTCCCTTTCGTGAGATGATTTACCTGGGTTCTGTCGTTGGTGAAATTGCGAGGAACGTAAGTTGACTATTCCGATTGCTTAATTCTTGACCTAAACTTTCCATCAGACCTACATGTAAATAAATCATTTGTTATTAATCGACATTTATTGTTTACCGCACGCGATTTGAAGAATAACATTTACGATAAGTTATACTCACTGGCAATTGCCGTCCTCGAACTCAAGTATACATCCTGAGTGGATGCAATTGGCATAATTCCGACAATGTGTGCTCTATCACGTTGTAACATAAATGGCAAAAATGCTAACACCATCTGTGAATGAAATGAGAAGACGTAAAACTGATTATAGATAAATAGTAAAAGTACATTACTATATATTCTCAATTTATCAAAATTGACAAATATAAACAAATTTTATATTTTCTAATTAAATCTTTTTTTAACAAAAATAATCTTGATTTATAACTCTCTAATTTCATTTTTGTATACAAATGTTTAATTACAATATGGAATAAATATATCTATCTATCTGTATTTTCAAATTATATATGTACAAAGTATAAAGTATTTTAAAATCAAGAGGTTCTAGATTTCTTATTATATGTTTTTCGATTAAATTTCCGGAATAAATTTGTCTTCATCAAAAATATTAAGGCTTAAGGAACACCTTATGAATGTCATCATGACATAAAACTAGGTCTACCTCTATTCCCGACCTCATCAATCCCGTTAACGTCATATCTTCTAAAAAGATGTGAATCCATTATTGGACCGTTAAAATCATATTTCTATATATCCCTAATATGTAAATAGCATTTCTAAGCAAGTTTTCACCAGAGATATTACAAGGCTACAATGTTAACGACCTGCCGTGATTTAATATGGTATGACACGTCGATTGCTTCAAGGACACAACTGTTGCCCAACGCTCACCCAATAATGGCTCATAAGAGTTGTATTGGCCGTATCAAATATATCTTGATAAGGTTGGCCGGCGCAGGTCACTAGGACATCGATGCCACCGATCTCATCCTCGACCTTCTTGGCAATCTCGCGTATGGCATTACGGTCCAGCAGGTTGCATTCGTATGCCGCCATTATAGGCCCTACATTCTCCTGCTCGTGTTCCCTATGATCAGACCCGATTCCCTTCACTTTATAGCACCGCGATCTTAACCTGCTGATTATCTCTTCCACGGATCTAAAGTCGTTATCCACACAGATCACGGAACATCCACCCTTTGCAAATTCCTCGGCGAGAGACTCGCCGAAGGTTGACGAGACACCGGCAATCTGTTACAGAAAAAATATATGTATGCTGATAGAGTGTTGCTTTTCAAGGCTACTGAATTTTAAATCAACTTTTAAATCAACTTGTTCAGATAGAGAACGAAAGGACGCAAAACTCCTAAACTAAACATTCATTACATTGAACTGTTTTACACATGGGATAATCTCTTCTAGCTCTTTGGGTCCTGATTAAAATCATATTTATTGTATTTTATGTATTACATATCTTAAATTAAATATTTTATATGTTAGCTTTAAATATAAAAATGTAATAATAATGAATAAAAAATAATATAGTGTGTGTGTGTGTGTGTGTGTGTGTGTGTGTGTGTGTGTGTTAGCAAAAAACAAATATACGTACTAAAACTACATCGCCAGTCAAATCTCTTGGTGGTTTTGGTAGAAATGATTTTATGACATCAAGAAGAGTCAAGAAACCAGAGATAACAGCGCCAATTAAAAATTCGATACTAAGATAAAACCAAAAATTAATTGAAAAGCCTGTCCTTGAATCTGTAACCACTGCTTCGTCCCTAACTCGTAGCATCATCCACTGCAATATAATACAAATTAATTATTTTATTATACTATATTCTTTTAACAAATTTCATTTTAAATAAAATTAGAAACAAATTGCTTTATTTGCTTATTTATTAATTTCCAAAATACATATACATATACATAATTACGTTATTTACGTAATTGTTAATATATGTAATTAACAATAATTATTGTTATCTGCTATATAATATTGATATATGATTGAATAAAAATAATTAATATATATAATTACACTATTTCTGATATAAGTAATTGTTATATACAATTATTTTTTATTTCTAACAGTCACGTGTATAGAATCATGGTTTTTATTTATGAGTTTATTTAGATTTTCTTCTTCTATTGCATTTAAGTATCTGTAAAAGATTTTTATAGACAAGTCGTTTTCAAACTTTTCTTCGTCACTAGAAAATATGACAAATTATGCTTACACTCTCTCGAAATCAACCTTTTCACAGTGAGAAGGTATCAATGTGAGCAATAATCATTATGTAATGTGTAAACTCCTATGCCTACCGTGCAATGTATAATAAAGAATGTGGCGCTTTGCAGACATGCAAGCACCCCAAAAGATTTACGACCATCGCTTTGACGTGTGAAAGCAAACTAATTAAAAAAATCGGTTATGTCAGAGACTAGTAGAAATCTTCAAATGGAATTATCACTCTCATTTTTCACTCAAATTTTTGCTATATTGTAATTAACTAATAGAATTTCATTTTCAACTTTTATTAATTATCGTTTCAATGTTGCAAAACTTGATTCTTAAGAAAGACATTTCTTATTAATGTAATATCTTTTGCAAAAAGAATTTTTTTTTATGAACGTTAATTCGTATATTTACGTGAAACTATTTGCTGCTATTTGATAGGGAAGTTAATTATTCAGAATTTAACTTCCAATCATCATTGAGGCAACTAACCGAACGAACCCGGAAATTAAACTTGTGTTACTTAATGGTGTTGCCGTGCAATACACGTGTCCGTTTTCATTTCTATCTTACATTAGACGTAACAAGTATGATGAAAACGGTCCAGAATCGGTCACAAAATGCAACAAAACCGTGATATTATATAACACTGGAATTAAGCTGCACGCAACATTGAACGGCTATATGATTAATACATTCATGAAAACGTAGTATTAATCTTTTACAAAAAAAAAAAAGTAAAGTTATGACAATGTGTGACAATGTGTTTGTTGAAGGAATATTAAAGGTATAAATATTTAGAATGTATTCTATATTTTAGTCATAACAAAAAAAATAATTTTCGAAATAATATTCATATTTCTTTCTCTATTATTATCTTAAATATAATATAAATGAAACAAATATCTATGATTATCACTAAACATTTTCTTTGTCAATTTTATCTTAAAAAAATAAAATAAATCTAAATGTAATAATTAATTAATTTAATTGACTTATGATTATATAATATTATAATTTATAACTATGGCAATTTTATTGCAAGGAAAAGAATTTTATTTAATAAATAATCTCTCTCTCTCTTTTCTCTCTCTAAACATATCGCACGAATGTTTGTAATAGTGACGTATATTGAATCCAAGAGGATTCAGATTGCTGCGGTCTGTCGAACCGTAAAATTGCTATCGCTGTTTTCTCGTTTGAATAACATAAAACTCTTCTGGTTGAGTCGCATTGCGATGTAATTTTGATGTTAACAGAATGCGTAATACTATTTTTAAAATATTTAGCTTAAGGACACAATAAGTTATATCAAATCATTTTGTTTTATTAAAAATTACTATCATTAACTAAATTACTCTTATGCCACATCAATTTTGTATGAATTCGCTGTAAAAAAATGTCGTGAGATCATTTCCTTGTGTCGATTAATCATTTTCTTTAAATGAGGTTTAATAACTATGTAATGCAATGAAGAAAGCTATATTATTCATTTGAAATGCGCAATTCAATGCAATTAAATTTTCATCAGAACATCAGAAGCACCGTATGATCGAAGACTATTTTGCAGCACATTATAAAACTTTGATGAAACAACCAGTATAACGAATCAAGTCATAAGGATACAAAGTGGTAATCGAAGCAAATTTAACGCTCGTAAATATGTAATTTATACTTCGCTAAAACATGCATTTCTTTTTGCTATTATATTGTTTTATTTGTTTAAGCTACGAATAAAAAATAATGTAAGAATGAATAGCCCATTGTATAAACATAGAAATGTGAGCAAACAGTTTGCGGAACACAATAACAGTGTACGTAAAGTACGCAGCACTAGACATAAACGCAACACCATAAATCAGGCGCAGTGTTTTTTTACGCTCTTTTTCTTATTACATAATTTATGCTTTCTTTAAGCGCACTGCTTTCCCGCGAGTGAACAAAAATTAAGAGAGAACAAAAAATTCCTGCGAGTGAACAAAAAATCATTTACCCGCCCTACTTGCATTTGTCGCAATCAGATATCTATTATATAATAACTGCTATATGTATACGCAAAAAAAAAAAAATCCAGAGCTACCGCTTTAGAACATAAACATAAAACCTGCTTTGAAATTATACACCATTGCGAATGATAGATGTTGACACGATTCGAGATAAATAAAATCCGTCAGTTTTTTTCGTCGATCGTAATTAAACTCGTCGATCGTGCTTCAATAGCGATAATGACGATTTGAAAAAAAGGTTATATTATACTCATTAATGTGGAATATTGATTATCATCGCTGCGAGATACAAAAAATCATGACGTACGTACGTACATACATATATACATATATACATTTAGATAGGAGTTAATTCCTCTTAGAGAAGCTAATCACGATGTTATTGTTTTATTGATTGAGAGACTATGACGAAGGAAATTTATATTTTTTCGCGTCCCACGTGAGAGAGTGGCAGGCGATCATATCTCAGAAGGCTTAAGGCTAATTGTACAGGCCAGGGCAGTCGCCATTAAGTTACGTCAAAAGTTCTACATAATCTTTAGCATTTAATTTATAATCTCACACGCACGCACATGTACACAATAATTTTTCTAAAATACGAGAAAGTTGAGAAAATTGACATTTAATTGATAGCCTCTGCAATTTCCAATAATTATATAAGTCATAAACTTATTTCGCATTTTTATAGAGTTTAACTGTCAAAATAATTTTCTACATAATTTTCTTATATAACCTTGGCACAGATATATCATATTACAAATTTCCTTGTATCCCTAAGACGATAAGCTTAAGATAAAGACTCGCTGTCTCTCGGCGGAACTTTCTTTATATTTACCCTTTCAACTGTATCTCTGTCAACCTTTTAAGTGTTATGAGCGCTGTTAAGTGGTATGTGCGATACGCGACGTAATGTTAAGGAATTGAAGGGAAACTGTCTTGTGGTTGAACTTTTATTTATTCCCTTCCCAAATAAGAAGAGAGGGTGTGCGCCACGGCAGGGGCCCGACCACGAACCAGTGAAACTCGTAATTATTTTGCGAAAAAATACCACCTCATCAGTCAGGAATCGAACCTGGATCTCCTGCTTACCGGGCAGCCATCTTATCCTTTCGATTACCGAGGCATGTGATGATATTTATCGCAAATAACGTGTTTAGAATAACACGTCAACGATACAATGATACACATATATACGTATATTACAATATACATATGTACATGTATTCTCTCGAATCTTCACGACCGATACTCCAGAGAGATGATGATCCTAGTCCCTCTCTCGATGGATGCAGGTCGGACTGCAGCGGCGACACCCTCCAACGCCATTGGCAAATATACAAATAATCCTCCTGATGCGCGACAGGAGAGATTGCATCAAGCACGGCTCGAGCCCCCGATTAGACATCGATACACTTGAATCGAGATGAGGACGTTTCCGCTTTGAGTTTTCAACGAGAATGACAACTTTAGTGTTGTAAGATGGATCTTCGTTCAAGATGAGATAGGTGATATTTCGTTAATATGACAATCAATAACGCAACACGTTCTGTTATGAACAGGTAATTGGGGCGGTTTCCTAAGAAGGAAAAATATGAGAAATTTGAAAATATATCAATACGTTGCGACAATTCGTTTGGTTAGGGCTACTAATAAATCGTAATCGGTTACAAAATAAATTTAGACCTTCAGAATGTTGGTCTAGACCTTTTGATAGAAAAGAGAAAAGAAAAAAGTGTTGAAAACTATTTTAGTATTAAATAAAGATTCTCAAATACTGAATTGTGACACGTAACATATGCCTCTCCCTGATGATAAATGACTATAAGAATATTTTTTCTAATTTATCAAATAATGGCATAATTCTATATATATATTGTCTATAATTATTTCAATACGCGACACGTAACAAAGATATTCCATTGTCAGCGTTTATAGCGCAGGTCTGTCTCTTGTATCGTTCGTAGTAACCTTTTCCACGCGATCTGCATTTGAAAAGTTAAATCAAGGAATATATTAATTATGCATTACTAAATGTTGCAACATGCTTGAAAGAAATTTAGAATGGCAAAGCTAATGGTAAAGGTAGTCTACTTGAATATCTTTCAAGAGCACAAAGAACGCAGTGGTAACTACTATGTTATGTGCTGAATCAGTCGATTGCATACAACGTATTGAGATCGGTAATTTACGCGTTATACTCGGTCTCATATCACTTGCGTAGGCATTTTTATACCTGATGCCGCTTTATAATAATAGAAAAAAATTTATGCCAAATCAATTAAAGTAAAGATTTATGATGCAGAAAAATGTTTAATAATGACGTATATTTTTTTTAAAACCAGTTTAACATTTTACATCACCACATTCCTGATATGTTAAACAGAAACTACATTATTTACAAAAGACACAGTTTTATCTTTGTTTAAACATTTCGTTTGAAGTAATGAATAGATATATAAGATTACTCACTTCTGTAAACTCGACATGTCTGTTTGTATTTATGATAAGAAAATGAATATTATTCGTATGAAATTTAGTGAAATTTTTGAAATGTATTATATATCTTTATGTTTTTACTTAAAAAAATATCAGAACTTTGTTATTAAGATATTTTTGTTATTAAGATATTGTTATTAAAATATTTATTTTGAGATATTTAAGAATTTTATTTAATTCTTAATAAATTCTATAATTTCTTAAATCCTAGAACTGGATATTAATTATTATGTTTATGTTAATTGATTTTTTTTAATTTTCATAAAATTTTTTGAAAGTATATATTAATTACATAGAAACATTCCAAGCCAAATCTTAGGAAGACATCATATTTAATTTCTTAATAGTAAAAATCACTTTTAAAGCTTTGTACTATAAAAATACTCAAAACTGATTTAAAAAATTATAAAATAAACTACGAAATTAATAAAATTTGATTTTTTTTACTTTTATCTTTTAACACAAGTCAAAATATCTGTATCACAATTGATACAGATCTATGATACAGATGTAAAATAATTTTTGACAGATACCTATTTTAACAGATTATATCCAAACTTGCACTATTTACAAAAAATCCGCATGGAAAATAGTACACACAACAGTATTACGGAAGAAATGCACTTGGAGCGAGAAACGTTACCGCGAGGGATACGCATAGATCACTGGATCACGCTGGATCTCTAAGGCGCTCGACAGTTTTGTGAACAGTAGGAAATGCGGGGGAACAACAATTCCGCGAATATAATGGCGACGTCGACGATCAGAACGCTCGAATCGCTTGAACTTGACTGAACACGGCAACAACGTACAGGAAAAGTGGAGGTGTAAGACCCAACCAAGGTCGTCTTCTTCGTTATCTGACTGTCCCTTTCCTTCTTGTTCACTATGGTGACAACTCTATAAGAATGATGGCGATGCATCCATCAACCACCATATGATGTAACATAAACTTGTAATTTGTATTTCAATCATTGTTTTTCAATTTGGATTTTTTCTTATTAAAAATATCCTTAATTTATAATAAAGAAAGTTCTATCATTTTTAGATAAAATTACAATGCAAATGTTTATAAATCTTATCTTTCACTATTCTTTTTAGGAAATCAATAATATTTATAAAATTTTAATTTCAATAATATACATCAGTATTATTATTTTGTTTTATTTTGTTTATCTTGTGATACTCAATTCTCAAGGCATTCTCAAGGCAAACAACAAATTTTAATAAAGAGAGTAAAATGATATTTGACATTTCTGCTTAAAAAATTTTAAATTTATAATTGGTTATAATTTAACAATAAAACGTCATAAAATTTTAATCCTTAGAACAATTTCTTGAAAAAATTAAAATAGAAAGTAATAAGTTTATAAATTATACGAGAAAGAATTTGAATTTTAGTACTTTCACTCTTACTCTAGTAGATAGGAATCCACTTAATCTCATGTTTTCTAAAGTAACACCATAACATTTTGACATTCTGCTCGTATTGCACAATATTCTACGCATCTCATTCACAATATTCTAAGCATCTCGATATACATTGGTATACATCACAGTTACGCAAAATAATCATAAGATACGCATACAGATAAATATTAATGTAACTGCAAATGTAGGAAAAAGATATCTATAGCACTCGATAGTTGAATTCTTAAATAAAAACAAAAAATATTTTCGTATTGTAAATATTTTGTTATCTCTTATATTGTAATATAAAATTATTACATTTATCTTCTTTCTACCTTTAATCATGGTTTAATTAGATTGTACAATAAACTTTATAAGAGCTGTATAAAAAAATTACGATTTGACTGATCGATTATACACAAAGACGGATTGAAACAATTCATATAATACTATTTTTACATAATTAATTAAATTTTATATAATAGCTGTAATATTTGTGATCAATAAAATAGAATTATATGTTATTCAAATATAATAAAATTATATGTCATTTAAACTAAATTAATTTTTAGTAAATCAATTCAGAAAATATTGTTGCTCATACATGCGCGTATGTATATGTGTGTGCGATGTGATGTGTATCCAATAGGAAAATAATGAAAACATTCTGATTTAAGTTTAAAACTGTCTATTATGATAAGTTAAGACTCGAGTTATGCATACCACCATAAAAATAACTTTTATGCTTTTTATTTCTTAGAAAATTAAAACAAATTTAATGTATAATGCATATATAAGTGTGCATCAATAATTTTTTTTTTTGAAATATTAACAATTCTCCTTTTTAATTTTTGAAGAGTGATATAAGCGTAATATAATGTTTATTATATATTATTTATTATTATAACTTTTATTATTATGACCTTTTATTTCATATACATAAAACTATTTTATTTGATTAATATTACTTTTTTTCTGCATATATTTATTGCTTTTATCGCAATCATTATCCCTGATTTATCTCATTAATATATATAAGTCGTATATCTAAGAAATCATTGTGTTTATTATGTTTAAAATGACATCACAGTAGAATAAAAAATTAGCTTCCAGTTATATACAAATTATTGTGAGATCACATGTATAAATTCAAAGTATATAAATAGACGTGAATACGTTATTGATCTTTTAAATCAAAAATTTAATAATCAGATCGCAAATAAATAAAATTGTACACGCGTTTGGTACAAGTTAAAAAAACATGAGTTTACATCTAGCGATGAAATTATGCAGCGAGTTGCCATTAGAAATAACGCGGAAGTACAAAAGGTACGTTCAAGCAATGCAATTTTGGATTTTTTATAGGAAACGGGCGCGAAAATCGATAGAAATGTGTAATTCACATACTGGCCGAAATTAACACACTTAATTACATAATCTAGTAAACCAACAATAACAGCGTGTCTGAGATCGCACATTTGATATGTCTAGTTTACTTTCTAAAAGAATACTGTACTTTTCCTTCCTATACAGACTAGTCATTGGTACCCTTATTATTTATATCGCAATGTATATATATTTACACTATATATTTACATCATGGAAAAGTACAAGTATTACTATATTTTCAGTGATTGTTCTCTTGTAGAAAGCATATTATATAACACATATTTCACACAATCGAAATATACACTGTAAATTGTATGCATAGATATTTAAGAAAGTTGTGAGATAGTATAAAAATTTCATATTAATTTCTTTAGCAAAGTAAAAAAAGAAAGAAAGTAGAAAATAAAAATAATAATAATTATGGAAGTATTAATTTTTACTATGTTTATGTCATCAGATAAAATTACTATCATCAGATTAAAATTATTATCATCAGATAAAAAGAAATCTTAATGTGTTAAAAATTTATTAAAAAGCTTTTTTACACTTATTGCTAAGAAATACTAATAAAATATGTAGAAATATATTTATTAATCTTATAATAAATATTATATACTATAAACTTATTATATACTATATTATACTATAAACAAATATCTTTTTGTTTCATGCATCACATAAAATTAAAATGTACTTGATAAAAAAATATAAATATCTTTACTATATACGATTTCTAAGCTCTTATCAAATCTAGTTTCAATTTAATTGCACCCCTTTCTTACTGCTTTCGATCGACATTCGCTAAAAAGTCTAGTATCAAATGCATTACGCTCTCCGGAACAATTCTAAAGAAAACACATTCTGATACACCATTACCATTACATAATGTAATTTTATTATTGAAAAGGAACGTTCATGGATTAAATATATAACTATAAAAATTTGTATCATATTATAAAATAAATATGAAAAAGAATAAATATGAAGCTACAACTAATTACTACGCGACTTCTAATACTTCCGATACTTACCTGTTGATTGCATTTAGGGAAAAAGACATCGTGGTATTGAATATTCTGTATAGTTTCTTCGAATTGCTTTA